GCAACAAAGCAAAGCACATCACAATCCCTGACTTAAAATTATCTTTTAAAAAAACTACCTTAGTAATAACTCCATGATTTTCTGAAATCCTGTGTTATTTGCATTGTTTTACTCTGCTTTGCTTTGTTCTGCATTGTTTTGCTTTGTTTCATTCTCTTCAAAATTAAAAAAAAAAAAAACTGCGTGGTACTGGCAAAAAAGACACACAAATCAATGGAACAGAATAGAAGATGTAGACAAGTACAAACTCACTCAGCTACCTTATCTTTCACAAAGGAGCCAAACACAATCACTGGAAGAAAGACAGCCTCTTTAATGGTGCTGAGAAAACAAGCTTTCTATATGCCAAACATTAAAAGTAGATCCATATCTCTCACCATGCACTAAATCAAACTGAAATGAATCAAAGAAACACTGAATCTTCTGGAAGCTAGTATAGATAAAACTCTTGAAAACATACATGTGTGCAAATACTTTACAAACAAAACCCTGATTGCACAGAAAACATTAGAGAGAATCTACAACAGAGATCTTATATTAAAAAGCATTTTTACAGCAAAAGAAACCACCAACACAGTGAAGAGACAACCCACAGAATGGAAAAAAAATTTATCAGCTATTCCTCAGACAAAAGACTAATATTTAGAAATAGATAAAGAACTCAAAATAATCAGGTTCCCCAAAATTTAAATATCTAATCCAAAAATCGGTAATTAAAATGAATAGACACCTCCTGGATGAAGACATACTTGCAGCAAATAAATACATAGAAAAATGTTCAACATATTTGGTCATATGAGAAATGCAAATGAAAACAACATCTCAGAAAGAATGGCCATCATCAAGAAATCAACCAATAATAAATGCTGGCAAGACTGTGGGGAGACTGTAAACTGGTACAACCAATATGGAAATTAGTATGGATATTCTTCAATAGACTAAATTAGAGTGATCCAGCTACTTCCCTTCCTGGTACCTTCATAAAAATTAAAGGCATCATACCACAGTGATATATACATGCCCATGTTTATACACAATTTGTAATAGTTAAGTCTTGGAAATAGCCCAAATGGCCATCAATGGATGAACGGATACATACAATGCTGTACTACTCTGTCATAAAGAACACATCAGATATTTCTAGGTAAATGGACATACTTCGAGACCATATTTTTAAGCGAAATAAATCAGACACACAATTAAATCTCACATTGCTTCTCTTGTTTGAGAAACGGAAATGATAAATAAGAACCAAAATGTATAACACATATTAGGAAGTAGGAAAAAAATGTTCACATGGAAAGGGGGAATAAGGTAGCAGGGTGGAAGGGAAGGAAAAGAAAAAATGGAAGGAATAAAATGGAAACAAAGCTTTTGTAAATAAGGAAGTGAGGAAGAAAGATTGAAAGGAGGGAAACAATGGCAAAAAAAGAAGAATTAAGATATATTACGTACAAGTACAAATTTCCTATGATGAATGTAATTATTATGGATATCAAAAGCATATCAATAAATTGCTTAAATTAGTGTGGAAATTTCTGGAATGTCTTTCAATTTCCCTATGTAACCAAAAATGATGATAAAATAATCTAGGAAAGAAAAGCATCCTAAAGTTGCACAGTGTAAATATCCAACAGTACATCTTCAGACAAAAGGCTAAGTGTAAATATCCAACAGTACATCTTCAGACAAAAGGCTCCTTTTTATGGAAAAGAACCTTCAGCCCTCTGCTCCTCACATGCAAAGCGTGAGTGGCTGGTGAGGGCAGGCAGGCCACACTTGCTCAGGGAACCCCTGGCGCAGATTTTCCTGGGCAGCCAACCCTTCTACTCTCCCTTCTTCCCAAGCATCCCAAAACCCACATCTCTACCCAACAGGTACTGATGATGAAAACAGATACCGCAATAACATGTTTGGAGACTTCTACCTCCTTTGAGGGTCTTTTCAATGAATTTGGAGATTTCAGTTCTTTCAACAATGAGTATCTTCTCACCATGAGACAAGAGGATGAGGATAGAGACCTGGGCACTGTATCACTTCAGGTCGAGTCAGAAGATTTTAGGGTTCCAGAGCCAAATGAGGATTCTGAACTCCTAATTCATGCATTGCCTGTGCACCAGAACATCTTGAAAATCTTTGTCCAGAATAGGGTAAATCCACCTACCACAAAAGTACACAGCTCTTTGCTTTATTGTGCAAACACTTTTCAAAACAAATGTTTCACAGGCATGCTCCTTGTACCACCTTCACAGACCACATAGAGGGACCCGGACACCAGGTACACAAGGGTACCAATTGTAAACCTTATCACGAACTTACAATTATCTCGCCAGCATAATGTACCACCAGAACCCATCATGCCAATGGATCAAACATCCATGCCTTCAAACCTACACACACAGTAACTCCGCATAATCCTTCAAATCCTGAGGGTTTCAACCAACGTGCTAAGAAAAGGAGGCAGTAAACATCAGGGAAAGTGGCAAAGCTTCATCCAGCTTAAGTCTTCAGGACTTTGATTTGCCCCAGGTAATACAGAGAAGTTATATGTAAGTACTATTGGTTTCATTAAAACAAATAAAACAGGTCATATTTATGCAATGAAAGTGGTGAAAAAAGAGCCTGTCAATACTGATCATATACAGACAGAGAGACATGGTTTGGAGCAGGCAGCTAATCGCCCTTGTCTTGTTGGACTGCATTCTTGCTCTCACACAGAAAGCAGACTGGTTTTCGTTCTAATCTGTGTACATGGAGCTCTTACATTTCATATGCTTCCTGGAGACATATGCCAGGTTTTACACTGCAGTAATCAGTTCAGCATTCAGTTATCTTCATGAGTGAGGGCTACTCTGTAGAAATTTGAAACTGCAGTTTATTTCTAGACTCAGAAAGGCACATTAAACTGACTATCACACTGTGCAAGAAAGGATTACAGTCAGGAGACATGACCAGCTCTCTCTGTTACATGCCCAATTGCCTTGCTCTAAAAATTATAAGAGAAGATTATGCTTCAATGTCAGCTGACAGATTCTTGAAGTATCAGTGTCTAAAAGATAGTCAGAAAGTCTCCATTTCCTATTGTTGAGAGCTCTGATAACCTGTATGAAAACTCAATCATCACTTGCAGGTTATTTTGGAACAAAAAATTCCCATGGTGTGTTTTCTCTGCTTCTGTAAAAGCTTCAAGTGTCCTGCAGAGTTTTCTGAACAAGAACCCACAGGAATGACTGGGGGTTGTCACGCCCAGAGAGGATTTGCTGATGCTCAGGAGCAGCCATTCCTTCCAAATGTTGACTGGATATGATGAACCAACAGCAGATGCTCTCTCCATTCAAACCAAAAATGTCTGGGAATTTAGCTTGCACAACTGTGACCTTCAGTTTACTGAGGAACCTGTCTGGCTCACTCCAGATGAGAATGACATTGATCAACATCAATTTGCAGTTTTGAGTATATCAATCATCTTTTGATGTATGCAGAAGAGTGTGACTGATGCTCTGTTTCCACTATCCATTCTACTTAGGTAGCCATTTAATGAACAGAAAAACTTGCTACCAACCTGAAGGGAAGTAACCACTTCATAATTTCCCAGAAGCTAATTTTAATTTCTTTTCTGAAGTTATACTTAAATGCAATAGTTGATTCTTATCTGTTATAAATGATATTTGGGTTTTTTAGATGAAGTTGCTTTTTGTTATTTGACTTCAGTAAGGAGGAGGTATTCAGTTGTTAACCAAACTTGCAAACATATTCTTTCATTTAGGAGCTGGAGACAGAATGTATAACATTATTTCCTGATGTTTACTCTGCAGGAAAATAATGTGCATTTTAAGCAGAATGTCTTAACTATGCTCATTTCTTGCCAAACCACACTGCCTGCACTTTTAGGCCCCATTTTATGTAGCCTTCAGGGGAATCCAAAACACAACAAATTTGAATAAATCTATGGAAAACACGGATTATAATTCTATCTCTTTAAGTTTTTTATTTAGTAAGGTAACACATGAAGTTATTTTAGGGGAAGAATTCTTCAGACTATTTTTATTAAAATTAGTGGCTAGCAATTTATTTAAATAACTGCCAGATACAGCAGTCTTCTGCTTATTTTAGCACCATTTTTATGCAAAGGACTTGAAAAGTAACCACGATCATTTAAATATGGCATAGTACAATGGTACAATCTTTTTAGAGAAGCTATCTAGTTTTAAGTTTAGAATGACTTATAATTTGTATGCATTTAATAAGTTATAATTTTAGCTTTTTTCTTTTTTTTTGGATGCTGCATTTCATGACAAATGTCACTTTTCCAAAGTCTGTAGTCATAAGTTGTCTTTTCTTCAAATAACTAAGCCCTGGTCATTATAATGTAATATGCTTTGTGTGCCTTCTTTTTAAAATAAAACATTTAATACACATCAAAAAAAAGAAAAGAAAAGAAATGCTAATATCTTTGAAAATTTCACCATGTGTTTGAAATTACAATATAATTTCATTAACCAAGTTTCCTATTACTATCTTTTCTTTCCTCTCTCATTTATAAAATTTTTGTAATCTTTTTTCCGCCTGTTTTATTCTATTCTATTTCCAAATAACCTCACACAAGTGGTCTAAAACATCTAATTTTACTCCCCAAAATATACCTTCTTTGCATAACGCATTCTTGGCCATTATTATGAAAATCAATAATTTGCATTTCAAATTATTCAGGTATTTCAGCTTTGTCTTATTTGCAGACCATAATAAATAGAAGGATATGTTAACTGTACATATATACTTTATATATGTATATACATATTAGGTGGGTGCACATATGTGAGAATAAATGCATGTAAGAAACTACTGAACCACTTAGCAATTTCTATTGCAGTGATGCAAATTTCTGGCTTCTGTCCACTTTCCAACCTCAAGATCCAGGTAACTATGGGGCCTCTACATTCACTATCAGTCGGAAAGTGCTCTAGACCACGGGGCTGCTCATGGGACAAGGCATACATTACCAGAAGCAGCATGACTTCCTTCCTGTGAACTGACCACAACCTCAGAGTCCAGTCCCGGGCAGCAGAGAGCAGCCACTTCCCATCATGGCTCCAGCAGATGGAGCTCACAGCTCCGTCGTGACCTAACCAGCACAAAGATAGAAGACTAAGAGTGTTATCTGCCTGTACTTTGCCAAGAAACACCTAAACTGCCTTTCTTCAAGGAGTAAATACCACACGTGGTGGCATTTCCTAGCTATTTCCTAAGTATAGTGATACCAGTAGAACCACTGCCCCAGGATGACACTGTACTTAGAGATTCAAGCAACAGAGTTCCTAAAGAAGGTGCTTCTGAAACCTCTTAATTCTTAAAATATGAAGTTCAACATCATGTGTGCAACTATCTGTGCATACATGACGGAACATCATAAAATACAATATCAGGAAACAGTACAGAGGACTTCTAGGTAATTCACCCATCCCTTATGAACTATTTTTCTTTTACTACAATGGAGAAAGTCAAAACAGTCCCCTGGACATTTTTACATACAGACTAGCATCCCTAACATGGCTGCTTCAGAGTTGGTTTTCTGGGCACGCACTCTGGCTCTGCTTTATGACACTGAGGTGCTGAGGCCCAAGGACTCCAGTAGTTCCTACTTTGCCTTTTGAGCTTTTCCGTCTAGCATCCCTCTTTCTATCTGCACCCATCTTGTTTTGGGATGCAGACACATGGGCTTGGGCCCAACACCATCCTGTACACAGAGCCTCTCAGGAGGGCCCTGAGGTGAGGGAGGCCAGCCTGATTCAGTGTCCTCAGATGCCACGACCTAAGTTCTCTGAAGAGCACGAGAGGCAGGAGCAGAAGTAGGAGATGGTGTCTTAGAGACCCATCCAGGGCCAATGTATTGAAGGAACTGCAGTTACGATGAGGTGTATGAAGGAGTCACATAAAATGGGTCACATCTGGATGGTCAGTGACCCTAGACTTGCTAAATTATTCCATTAGGATTTAGGTACTAAGTGACGAAAATCTTAGAGGGCATAGAAGCTTGACATGGCCAGATCCTCAGCCTGGGTCACACATGATAATTTAAAGATCAGACTATGCCTATATCACCGTATAACATCTGTCAGGAAATCACCAAAATACAAATGGACAAACCAGGGAAGAGTGAAAAATAAGTATGTAACTAAAAAAAAAAAAAAAAGACGACTAAATATTATCTGCTGTGACTTTGCTGCCCCCTGGTGCACGGCAGCAGCCTCCCTAACAATGAGCAGAACAGTAGAAGAAAGTTCAAGGTCTGCACTGGGCTGCTCAGCTAGCAGTGAGGGCAGCATCCTCTACAGCCTCACAGAGCATCAGCCACGACCCCTCAGCTTCCCATCCTCTGTCTGACTTCTAAAGAAACTCCATGGCCAGCTGAGTAGCTCACTGACCTCTCACAGCACACTGCAATGCTTACACCCATCTCCAGGAAGGCACCTGCAGTTACTTTCCCAGCTTTGCCCTATGAAGCAGTGACCCTTGGCTAGAACAATCCCTAGTTCCTGATCCTCCACCTTCACAGCACCTGCTGCCCTGCCAGACAACACTGATTCCAGGGGAAAGCAGGTATAACCCTGAGCAATGTAGAAACTGAGGCAGGGTGCCTACCGCCTGTCCTGGCACAAGTGGGGACCTGACTTTCCTTAACCACACACATAGGGTTAAGGACTGACCTTCTCCACTACCAGCACAAGCCGCCTACAGACTCACTGGAAGTGGCTGCCCCTTCTCTCCCAAGCCCAGGACACTCAGATCATGGGGCTTTGGGCCCATGATGTGTAGGAAGGGTCCTCTGGGACATGCTCCACATTCAACTGAGTGGATCACCCACACGGGATCACATCAAGCCCTTTCACTTCCTCTTTTCTCAGAATTTTTACTTTCATCAAATGTATTGTTCAAAGGTGCATCCCACTGCCAGAAAAAACATAAATGCCTCCCGCTCCTGCTGTGATGACTACTTCTCTGCAGTGTATGTGAGGCCTTGATAAACTTCAGGCAGAGACAAAGAGGACCAGGAACTTTGGACAAGGGGTTCTGGGATAACCAATGTAGTGTGCGGGACAGACACAGCACACAAAATGGAGCCCCCATGTGAAAAGCACACACACAGAGAAGGGCTAAGGAGGCAAGGTTCAGACAGGAGGACCTGAAGACAGCAGGCAGGGTGCTCTGGTTTAATGTCACCCTTTATAAAGATGACTTGTTTTTCTACTCCACAGTCTGGAGTGACATCTTTGCTGGGTTTCAGCTTCCAAAAGCCTTGACTGGGACAGCTACAGCAGCCTGCCTCCCTTCCAAGAGACTCAGAGCTCTCCACAGAACCTGTCACGATCCACGCCTGGAGAGGGACCTGTCTCTGCTAAGCCAGAAGAGGGTCAGCAGCCCCAAGGAGAAACAACAGAGTGAGCTGGCAGCGCTGGCCCCAAGACAGCCAGGGCTACTGTAAACTGCAAAAACAGCATGAAAGTGACTCTTTCCACATGGCAGGCCAAACTGGGAGAAGAAAGCCGTGCAAAGCCCATAGCATTTAAGTGTTTAATCAGGAGACACTTTGGGGAGGGGTTGATTTGTTTAAGATGGAGCTACTCTGGGAATCAGAAGCCACATAGTAACTGCACTCCAAGGTTTTCAGGGTCACCCTACCAATGACTTGGTAGGAAATGGCCACAAGACATAGTCATGGAGAAGAGGGAAGGCTAGTTATAGATGCCCTGAGAAATTTAAGCTCAGGTCAGAAAGGATGAGAGGATTCCAGCCTTGGCAGGATGCATGTGATTTTCAGAGTGGGCTGGGTCTGAAAGTGCTGGTATTGAATCCAGCAAACTACATAACCGCCCTGCCCCACTCCCTGCATCCAGCAGAGGTCAGTGGTCTGTCTGCTTTCCCTGTCTAGTCTGCTAACATACTCAGAGATACTGTCTGACTAGGACTACTGCCACAATTTGGAGTGTACAGACACAGGGCCTCTGAAGCGGGAACAGTACCTCACAAATCCACCGGCCATAATGCTACAGAGAAGCAGCAGTGACCTGGGGCAGAGGGAACAGAAACAGAGGGAAGCTGCTGTGATAAATACAGTCCTAGACAGACACCTCTGACTAACCCAACAGAAAAAGCTGCGCAGGACTCGGCATTCACATACAAAATCCTAAGGGTGGAAATGAAATGGGACTCAGTGGGTTGCTATCCGTTCCTGTATCTGCTGCATCCCAGTAATGCAGATTCTGTAAAGAAACTACTAATTCAAGCACATGAGGAAGTTCTGAACTCATTTTTCTTTTTCTTTGTTGGTTGGGGGGTCCCTTTTCTATTATTTCTTTTTTCTTTATTCCTTCTTTTTGTTGTTGTTCTATTATTTCTTTCTTCTTTTTCCTGTTGCTCTTTTCTGTTACTTTTATCTGATCATATTGATTTTCTTTTAATTAGATCATTTATCTCACTTTTCTTGCCTCCTCATCTTTCTTTTAATTTCATATTTTACATCTTTAGGTTTCTATCTCCCTATCTCCTCCATTTTTATTACCATGAAGCATTATTTATCTTTAGATATTTAGGTCATTTATGTTATTGTTGAATTCTTTTCTATTGTTAGTGGGGGCAGAGTTTTTGAGGTTAGTAGATATTTACTGAATGCCAACCTCTGATCTGCTTTGTGTCTACATTATTACTGCAGACTCCCTTGGTATGGGTGGTACAGTAATAGCTTTTGTTGGTTTTTATGGCATGTCAATATCCAGTTTATCTTTGACTCTTACTACTGCTGATTTCCTTGCTATTGCCAGTGATGGCACAGATGGTACTATTAATTGGTTGGTCTGTATGCCAACATCTGGTTTGTCTTTGTGTCACCAATGTTACTGCAGTTCTTTTCCAGAGAACTGGGTGCAGGGAGTATTACACTGCATCCTCTCCTCCCCAGGTTAATGAAGGTGGCTGGATCTTGGGACACAAATAAAGGCTTATAGTTGGCCATGTCTAAAGGGCATAACTGCAAAGAAGACACTAACCAAAAATATCTCCACAGCAGCAGCAGCAGAATCATTTCACTGTACTTGATCTTCAACCCTCAGCACACACATAAAAAGCAATAAAAACATGAAAAAACAACACAACTAAGTCCTTCAAAAATCCCCAACTCTTCAAAAGCTGACCTAGGAGGCACTGATGGAAATCAGAAGCCAAACAGCTGAGCTATATGAAGTGATACAAGAGGAAACAACAACCACCACATCAGTATGGCGCTCGGTGAGCTCAACAATGACATAACTAAACACTCAATGAACTTAATTAACAAAATGGTCAGTGAGCTGAAAGAAGACACTAGTAAAAAGCAAGCTGAGCTACACAAAATGATACAAAACATGAATGGCCAGTTTAGCAAAGAATGGGAGTCCATGAAAAATTATCAAACAGAAATCTAGCACATAAAAACATTATACCTAAAGTATGGGTGCAGAAGTGACCAATGTAACCAATTAGAAGATAGTGCTGATGCAGGTGACCACACATACAGAGATACTTTAGAAGCAATAAGAGATGGAAAATGGATCCAAGAGCTGCTGGATGATGCAAAGACAATTAATCTTAGTGAAAAATCAAAAAATAGCACAAATGGCACGAAAACTGTTTACAGAAATCAGAAGAAAACATTCTGAGAATGAGAAAAGAATTTTACCTACAGATAAGTGAAGCATATTGCTGAAAGCAGCTGAAGCTGGAGATGCTCACAGGTACGGGGCTGGAGCAAGGCCTCCCAAGAACAAAGAGCACCTGGGTGCAGCCATAGGAACAACCTGCGGCAGCCAGAGAACACAAGTCCCAAGGTAGCCAAGAAACAGGCAGCTAAGGCAAACGGGTGTCAGATGACATGATCTTATAAATACATAAGTAAAGTCTCTACAGTGGTTGAGCAGCACCCTTCCTCCCATCCAGAGAGAGAGATCCACCTGGCCTCACCTTCATCTCTTTTCTTCATTTTCCTATCCTCTCACTGTCTTCTCCTCAACCAACACTTACAGCTGCAACCAGATGCTACGGCATACAGAACCCCAAATAGCCACAATCAGAAAAGAACTTCTCCACAATTACCATCAGAATCCTAGAAGTCAAACACAAAATCACAATCTTCAAACCTGTCAGATAAAAGCGATAAATCACCCATAAAGGTAAACTCATTAGAATTACAACACAAACCATAAAGGTCAGAAGACCTTGGAATGCAATATTTCAAGCCCCAAAAGAAAATAATCCAAACCCTAGCTAACATAGACTGCAAAATCATCTTTCAAAATTGATGAAGAAGTAGATCTTTGAATGGCAAAGAGCACCTCAAAAAATTAATGACTACCAAACCAGCACTCCAAAAAGTTCTCAAAAATGTCCTAAAAAGAAACAACAAAATTAACAATGGCAAACAATCTAGGAAAATGAATTCAGGAGGTAAAGTGAGCCATTAAACAGAAAAGAAAAATAGAATCAGCAACAGGAAAATTCCATGACAGGAATAAGTCAGTACCTTTAAGTAATAACAGTGTGAATAGCCTCAAATCCAAAATCAAAAGACAGTGATTGGCAGACCACATCGAAAAGTAAAATGCAACAGCATGTTTATAAAAGACAACCATTTAATCTAATATTAAATGCATACACTGAAAATCAAAGATTAGAAAACAGTACCTCATGTTTCAATAACCCCCTCGAAAACTAAAATTCCTCAAAAGCTATCCTTTTTTTAGACAAAGCTAAAACCTACCAAAGAGGCAAAGAAGGTTATGACAGAACTATTCAACAGAAAGAGATAACAAATATATATATATATATGTATATACACACACACAACAAAAACAGGCATTCTCAGCTTCATAAAACACACAGGATGGAATGTAAAGAGTGGGAAAAGTATTAATACAGTCATAGTAGGGAATCTCAATACACCATCATCACAAACAGAAGGATAAACTAGACAAAAAGTAAGTGCTGAGCCACACCTTCAAAGAAATGGGCTTAATAGATACAGTGTTCAACAGCAAAAGACACATTCTTTACAGCAGAACATAGAACTTTCTCCAAAACAGACCACATACTAGTCTATAAAGCACATTTAAATAAATGCAGAAGAATCACAATTATCCTATGATTATTATCAGCTCACAGTGCAAAGAAACTATAAATCAATAGAAAAAGAAACCATAAAAATTACACAAACACAGAGAGATTAAACAATACACACCTGAATAATCAGAGAGTCTATGAAAAAAATCAAGGAAGTTCCTATAAACACTTAAGCCAGAATCTATGATACATAATGAAAGCAGTCCTTCCATTAAATTTATCACTGTGAATACCTACATAAGGAAAACAAGGAGAATCTAACTAAAGCCTACGGCCATACCACCCTGAACGCGCCCGATCTCATCTGATCTTGGAAGCTAAGCAGGGTCGGGCCTGGTTAGTACTTGGATGGAAGAATCTAACTAAATAATTTAAAGAAATACCCCAAGGTCCTAGAAAATCAAGAACAATACAAAATCTAAAACTAGTACATGGAAAGAAATCACAGGAAAAACTAATGAAATGGAGACTTTAAAAATGCAAAGAATCAATGAATCAAAGAGCTAATTCTTCAATAGAACAAACAAAATAAATAAATCCTTAGCAAACTCACCAAAAGGGGGAAAAAATATAATTAGAAATGTACAAGGCACAATCACAATGGACAGTGCCACAGTCCAGAAGCATATTAGTAACTACTTCAAAAATCTATACTCTGATAATTAGGAGAATACAGAAGAAATGGAGAGTTTTCTGGGTACAAGAGAATTACCAAAACTGACACAAGATTTTAAGTCTCAATAATCCAGTAACAGGCAATGATGTTGATAAAGTGATTTTTTAAAAACCTACCAATTTTTTTAAAAAGTCTAGGACCAGATGGATTCACCACTGAGGTCTACAAGAACTCTGGGGAAGATCTAATACCAGTATACTTCAAACTCTTTCAGGAAACAGAAATAAAAGGATCACTGCAAAACTCATTCCTGAACCTAGTATTATCTTGATGCCCAAACCACAAATGGACCGAAGAAAAGAAAAACTACAAGCTAGTCTCTTTAACATGGCTGCAAAACAAAATATTCGTAGCCCCATCTGGGACAGTGTTCTTTCCCTCCTCCACTGCCCCAAGATGGCTCAGCCTGCAAGAGGAGTCAACAGAATGTAACCAATCCCCCCAAAAATCATATACCATAGCCAAGTAGGCTTCAACCCAGACACGAAAGGATGATTCAGTACACACAAATCAATGAACGTAATATATCACACAAACAAGAAGTGAGAAAAAAAATCACATGACCATCTCAAAAGATATAGAAAAGGTTTTTGACAAAATCCAACACCCATTCATGACAAAAATCCTAAAAAACAAAACAGGTATAGAAGGACTTTATCTCAAACTGATAAAAACCATTAATGACAAACCTGCCAATATCATATTAAAGAAGGAGAAACTGAAAACTTTGGCTCTAAAATGTGGAACCATACAAGGATGTCCACCACTGACACTCCTATATAATACTGGAAACTTTAGCCCAATCAATCAGACAAAAAAAGAAAAGAAATGAAAGAAATATGTGTATAAGATAAAGAAGTCAAACTGTCCACATTCACAGATGATCCTATACATAGAAGACCCAAAAAAGTCCACCAAAAGATTCTTACAACTAATAAAAAAATTCAATAAAAGCAGAATAAAAAAATCAGCACACAAACATTAATAGCATTTCTGTACACCAATAATGACCCCATTGAGAAAGAAATTAGAAAAAAATAACCATTTACAAGAAAAACTAAGTACTTAAAAAAATTTTTTAAATAAATATACAGTGAAAAGACTGATCACAATTATAACACAAGGGAAAAAGAACTAATCTAACAAAAGAAGAAAAAAACCTTTATAATAAAAACTATAGAATTATGAAAAGATCAATGAGTACAGCAGAAAAAGGAAAGATAGCCCCTGTTCCTAGATGGGTAGAATGAATTTTGGCAAATTAGGCACACTTCTAAAACTGATATACAGACTTAAATGCAATTCCAATCAAAGTGACAATTTCCACTTCCTCACAGAACTAGAAGAAACAATTCTAAAAGTTAGGTGGGCCCAGAAGACACCCAGAATAGGTAAAGCAACCCTAGACAACGAGAGCAAAAGGAGGCATCCCAATCTATACTGTTGGCAGGAGTGTAAACTAGCACAACCAGCACACAAATCAGTCTAGAGAGCTCTCAAAAACCTAAAACTAGAAAGTCTATTTGACCCAGTTATTTCCTTGTTAGGTAACTTCCTAAAAGAGTTAAAGATGAAGTATTACAGAGATAAATGCACACTCATATTTATAGCAATGACTCATAATAGCTAAATCTTCAAAGCAGCCTATATGTCCATCTACAGATGAACAGGTAAAGAAAAATATGGTATTTATACACATAGAATACTACTCTGTCATAAACCAGGATAAAATTTTTGTCATTTGTAGAAAAGTGGATGCACCTTGAGACTATAATCTTAAGTGAAATGAACCAAATATACAAGCTTAAATATCACATATTTTCTCTTACATGAGAAACACAAGATATAAATAATATAAAAACCAAAGTATGGAGGCAACTTGAGACTATCCTCATAAGTGAAATAAATAAGAATCATATTTGTAAATATCACATCATATCTCTAGTATGAAAAGTACTAAGAACTGTAGGAGTAATAAAACCCAAAATATGTAATTGCCATTGTAAAAAAGAGAGGAAAAGAAAATGCTCTAAAGGATATAACTGCATGTATATTTAAGTGTATAAGATAGAGAACCACATTACTGAGTTTTTGTTGGATCATTGAGCAGAACTGTTTGCAGTCTCACTGTTTGAATGTCCACTTTGTATGCCTTAATTTTATAACTTGAACAACTATTTCTAAGATGACAATATGTAATTATCAACTAGTGATTTCTTACTGTTTATTTTTTTGAAATTCTGTGTTATTACTACCCTTTTTTGTTTGCTTTTTTTCTCTTTAAATAAATTTTTTTTAAAAAGACAAAGTAAAAGACATAGTCAAAAACAAGAAGGCAGATCTTTTGCAAATGGGAAGGTGACAAAGAAATGGAAGGAAGGGGAATATGAATGGAGAAGTCAAAGGAAGTAAAGAGAATTAAGATGCGTTACGTAGATGTACCAGCTCCTCATTGTGAATTGTGCAAACACATAATAGTAAAATTAGAAAAAGGTAAAGAAATGTAAGACAACAGAAAATATAACCCATAATTCACCACTATCAAAAGAAGTTACACACATTTGAAATACATAAGATTCCATTTCCACAGGGCTCAGGGATTTAGCTCAGCGGCATAAGTGCCTGCCTGGCAAGCACGAGGTCATGAGTTCAATCTCCCGTACCAAAAAAAAAAATCCATTTCCACCACCTGCAAGTCCCAGCCTCTGGGCTTAGCGTGAAAACTCTCACAAAGCGCATAGACCCTGCTCGGGGCAAGGGCTTGGTGCTGTGAGGATTAGCAGCCCACACCGTTCTTCGCCCCACCACCCAAGCCTCAGTTCTGTGCTGTGGTTTGGGAAGGAGAGAGAGCACACTGACCTGGGACAGCCAGAAACCCAGAGCCACCCTTAAACTCATGCTCCTTAGGAACAAGGTATATCTTACCTGAAAAAGCAGCAGGTGTTCCACTAAGACTGGCATCCAAAACCAGGGAGAGACAGTTGGCTAAGCCACAGGCCAGCCACTGCCCATTTCCTGTTTAAAAACATGAAAGCGCTTTAGAACCCCAGCCGACCCGAGCCACACTCTTTGGCAGCCTGATGCTCACTTTCTCAGATAGGGAGGGACCAGAAAAGGCCTCCAGCAATGCTCACCTGCTCTCAGACAGCCACCACCCTGCCAAGCAGAGGCTGCCAGGTTCCAAGCCCCGCGTCACACCTCTGAGGAAGCTCACACCACTGCCTCAAAACCTTGTTATGCTGCTACCCTCCGTTTATAGACTGAAACAAGAGTCAGAGCTGAGCCTTAGGCTGCAGGTCTGGTGCGCGGCTAGAGGTGGGCCAGGGCACCCTCCGCCCAGCACATCCCCTACCCTGTGGCATATCCTGTTCCACATCAAAGGACTGATTACGAGACTTATTCAGCCTTAAACTGCAGAAATCGAAGATGTGGAAATGAAATGGGACACTCCAGGGAGGATCAGATGTTAGAAGACGGACGTGGTAAGTTTGAAAAGTCACTGATCCAAACAAACATTCCTATGTATGTGTGAGAAATCAGTTTATTAATTAAAAGGTTTTTTTCCCTCCTGGTCTCTTAAATTATGGCTTTCATGTAATAAGGATGATTTGCATTTTCAGAGAAAAATTGTTTCCTTTCAAATTATGGACTTTTTAACAAGACAATTTGAATGAGTATTTTTTCTTGACATTTTTCTTAGGAAAAATGTTTCTAACCTTTGGAAATCCAGAAGAGTACTGGGGGAAAACTATGTTTTAAATCTGTCTGCGACCTCTGTCCCATTTCATTTTGCTTTGTGAATTCTCAGTTAACAATAAATTAGCTTTAAAAAATTTTAAAAAGGCTTATTCAGCCTCGCTCAGAATAGAACTTGTATTTCTCCTGTCATAGTCAGACTTGTGGATCTATACCAACGTTCTAGTCTGTGGAAGGAAACAAAAAGCAAAGGTAGCACACAGGTGTGAGCAAATCTCACTGCTGAGAACAGTGTACAGTGGAACTATCTAGACCTATGGTGGCAAACCTGTTAGAGCTTTCCATTAGAGCAAACATCCGGCTGCAGCATGTGTGCCACAGATTCATCTCCCTAACCCAGACAAAGCTGCAGGCACCCTCGCAGGCAGCCTCTTAACTTCTTTCAAACATTAGTAAGGAACAGACCAGCTACTGAGGAAGTCAGTCAGCCATGGGGGTCTGTCAAGGAGAGGACCCAGGTCACAGGCCAGCATGCTGCATCCTCAAGATCCAGAGCCTCGGCTCGAAAGGAACACGGCAACTCTGCTAACTCGTCCTGGGAGAATCTGTGTGTGTGCAGACGCTGTGCACGTGGAAGGCAGGGGGTCTGTCCCAGGTACTGATGCTGGAGCACAGCTCTGTAGCAGCTCTCGGGGCATCAAGTACAGACAGGGCTTCCTTCTGCTCTGGACTCACACTTTGCCATACAACTTCAAGGTCAAACTTAAAAACATACATAGGTCAGTGGACAAAACGAGCCAGGACTGCTTTCTCAAGCTCACCTACCTGAGTACTGGATACAGCTCACAGCAGTTGGCTGTTGGGCCAGGGCCACCTGTTTGTTCAGTCTGCTTGGCAGAAAATTCTCCAAAGGATATTCCTCACTTAAAGTCAGACAATAAAAATCAAGACAGCATTTCAAATGGGAACAGAAATAAAATAAAGTGGATTTGCCCTATGTGCATACATAATTTTATTCCATTAATCCTAAAAATATAAACTCTTACATTCAAATTCATGCAATAACTCTTTGCAATAGATTTGCATTCTACATTGCCCCAAAAGGTGTACAATCATGTATGACGTGACAGCAAGGTTGTGCTCTGAGAAACGTTACTAGACAATGTCTGACACTGTGTGAATGACTTACCCATACCCAGAGGCAGAGCCGACCACATACCTAGACCACATGATACAAAAGTATAGTGAGCCATTGCTCCCAGGCCCATGATAAACAAAACAACGTAAGATGAGGTCAGATGCAATCAAGAGATGCAGTAGACACAGGCTACTACCAGTGCAAATGATGGACTCCTTTACAATCTCCTTACAATAAGCCACTTTAAATAAGTAGAACATTCTAAAAAAAACAAGTCCAATACATAAGCCAGTAGCAGTGCGGGTCATCATTACCAAATATGACTCATGTTCATAATCAGACATGTTACACGTGCATGTGTCTGGCAGCACAGTGGAGATACCATCTCACTCCATTTAGAATGACTATCTTCAAGAAAGCAAAAAATAACAAATGCTGGTGAGGATGGAGAGAAAAGGAACTTCCATTCACTCTTCATGGAAAACAGCGTAGCCATTATGGAGACCAGTATGGGAGTTCCTCAAAACTTCAAAACAGGTCTACTATATTATCCACTAAGCCTCTTCTGGGTATATAGCCAAAGAAATTGATACCCGTGTGCTTAAGCACTATTCAAGTAGTTAAACGAAACAGCATACATACCCATAAACCAAGAACAATAAAGCAAATATGGTATATAAACACAAGGAAGTACTAGTCATCTATAAAGAAGCATCAAAATCATTTGCAGCAAAAAGAATAGACTTGGAAGACACTGGGTTAATATAAAATATGCCAGACACAGAAATTCAAACACTGCTTGTTCTCTCTCACATGTAAAAGTCTACAAAATAAAGCTGACACGGAATAGTGATTGCTAGAGATTGGGAATGGAGTGAGAAAAATAAAGACAGCATAGATTTGATCAGTGGAAATCATCACACAAAGCCTCATTAGTATGTAAAATTAATACATGTTCATTAAAAAACCTCAATGTTCCACTAAGCATTTCTTCTAATGTACTGACTGCCCAATCATAGATAAGATGCACATAAAAATTAACATTAAAACCAGTACCCCAAATCTTTCTCCATGACATAATCTTAAACTCCAGCACGGGACAAAGCCCAAGAGGGCCCCATACTCTTTTTTGTATAGACACTTGGGCCCGCACTTGAAAAAGCACCTATTCACACAGTCAGGGCCAGTCCCTGCTGGTCACAACGAAGACAACGAAGACAAATTTTACTTCCACACACTACATTACATACCGTTTATAACTGTTCTTGCATTTTAGTGAACTTTTACCATCATTCTTGATGTTAGTCTTTGGTGAAAACATTGTTACACTGTGGAAAGAAAACTTCTATGTCACTCTCAAAGACTAAGAGTTTAAGTTTCCTCAGAGAGCTACAGGCTAAGCATGACGTTGCATGCTTGTATCCCACCTACACAGCAGGCAGAGACAGAAGAATCACAAGTTCAAGGACAATTTGAGACTCTGTCTCAAAATTAGAAAAAAAAAAATATCAGTAGGGCTGGGATGTAGCTTAGTGGTAAAGCACTTGTCTAGTATGCACCAAGGACTGGGTCCAGTCCCTATCTCTTCCCTCCATCCTCCTCGCCATCTGTCTGTCTAACTACCCTACCCATATTTCCACCCCCTCACTGTACCACTCCCGTATCTCCATCCAACCATTTCTTCCTGTCCACTCATTGCCCATTTCTCCACTCATGCATTTATATGTACTCCATCCATCCGCAAGTGTCTTATAAGAGGGTTCTAGGTGTAGGCAATGGAGTCTGAAGAATAGATAGTAAGTAAAACTGGTCAAGCCAAAAAGAAAGAATGGGACAAGGAAACAAGAGGGAAGGAAGCTGAAGGCTGTGGGCACATGCAGAGCATCCTGGGATGGAATGCTGGAGTAACCCTGGGCGTGGAGATGGAGGTAGGGATGGACGGGAGGAAGAGGTGAGGCCAGAGCCCAATCAGAGACAGCCTAGGGAAGCCACAGAAGGGGCTCAAGGGTCAAAGTCCAGGAACTCCCTTAGGACTTCCAGGTAACAGGGCACCTTTGGCCGCTATGCCAAGGCCACACAAAGTCTAGGACTTGGGATAGGAGCAGGACGGTGTATTCCATTTTATAAAGAAAAAGGATGTTCCTTTGAGAAATGCAAGGCCCATCAAGGAACTGGGAACTCCAGGACTTTGCTGCAGCTCCCCTAACCATTGTGTGGTTTCACGTTTCCTTATCTGTGAACAACTTCATCAATCAGACTTGCTGCCTCTGGTTTCCAGATCCTGAACTCTAATATTCCAAAGCACAGCTGTGTTCTACAAAGGGACGTGGTGGTAAGGCCTCAGTGGCCTAAATCACTTTAAACCATCATCTCTTTCTCCTCCTCCTGCACCCCACCAATTTGTTATCCACCAGCCTCTACCTTATCACCCGATGGACTCAACGCACTAAACAGAGGCCCAGTACACACCACAGTGACCATACATTCCGGTGTTTGCTGTGCACTTGAGGCCACTGCGGGGATTTGACAGTCTGAGGGCTGACCCGCCACGTTGTAACTCCCATTTATACCTGTCTCCCCTCTCTGCAGCATGACTCTTGAGGACACACGAGTGCCCACATTTATACCCTGCAACTACAATGCCCTCGAAGCTCTGCCTTGTCATTTACATAAACGACAGGAAAGCCCATACTCACTGAGGTGCTGAGGCATATCCAGATGACCTGACTTTAGTGTGGAAGACCACGGGCCTGTCCCCCGTAACTCTCTGCACGGCTGCTGAAACAATTTCAAAGAAGCAGAAAATATTTAACATTACAATTTCATTACTAGCACAAGAGGAAGACAGACTTTTCAAAGCTGAAAACTTCACACACAAATAAGATGAGTTTCTGACCTATGACATTAAGATGTTCCATACACAAGGTTAAACCAGCAAAGCCAGCCAAGAAAGTCTAAAGAAAGGAAATCAAAAATACAAAAAAGGAAAGCCCACACAATTTTTTCTCTCACTCTTTAAATGATTCTACACTGATAACTTGCTTGACACATTTCCAGTGCCAACTAATAGTGCCACGCTGGCCACAGGAGAACTGCTGGGGAATAAACCACAGCTCCCTGAGCTCCCTCCAAGGTTGTGGGTATCAGCCACTCTGAGAAGAGGATGGCTCTTCTACGAGCAGGGACCTGTCACAGCTACTCACAGCAAAGGCTGAACATGTGCAAAAGATAAACTACAACTCCAAAGATAAACTACTGACAGTTTACACCAGTGGGTTCTAACAGAAATGAAACTCATCTAGTCTTTAAAGAACATGTCCCACAGCATACTCAAAGAATAAAAATTCTGGCCCTAGGGCCAGGGTTTTAGCTCAGTAGCATAAGTGCTGGCCTGGCAAGCTTGAGGTTGTGAGTTTGATCCTCGAGAGTTTGAACCACAAAAAAAAAAAAAAAAAATTCTGGCACTGAATAAACAACACAGATACTTACAAATCTCAAAAATCTTTGTCTTCCCTATCTTGCATTTCTGGGCCTTGCCCCCTGGGCACCTGAAGCTCCCTGCTCTGAGGACCAGGACATCACTGAACTCCTGTGGAGCTCACAAACCCATTCTGGTGCTCAGATGGACCTTGACCCATGTGAGGTGTTCACTGTGCCCTCTGCTCTGTAGAGCCACTTTGTTCAGTAGGGGAATGAATGGTCAAGGGATCAGGATTAAAATACCGTGAGGGGTAGGGAAGACACTTGACACAACCTAAGCCAGCGACACAGGACAGGGCCAGCAGGCGCCAGGTCGTGGGCTGTCTAGCAGAGGAAATACCTTGATGAAAGTTGAGGGGATGTGTGGAGGACCACCGGGACAGCTCTCCTTGAAACAACAGCATTTAGTCCTACTTTCAGATACTGATAGGTACAGAGTTGGCTAAAATAGATGTTTCTTTATCCCCTCAACTGGCTTCAAGTAATTCAAATGGGTCTAGCAGAGGTGTTGATGTTCAGCCTTTAAAGCAATGGCACAGGTCAGTGACGCCCTGCCTACAGCTCTCAAGTAGTATGTGTGAGCTGGTGACACATGCTATTGGCTAGGATTGAGCCTTGAGAAAGAAACTATGACACCTCAAGGCATGACAAGTATACATCCAAACCAAGGCACCCACCCCAGAACACTGGATACTGCCCCAATCTGACACAGAGATTATGCTTTCTGCACACCTATCTTTCTGCATGCTGCAGAGCTGTTCTCAGGCCTCCTACCTAGCCCAGCTCCCAGCACTGACACAGTTCCTGCCTTTCTCAGAGTCACTGATCCCCAAGCCACTCCCCTCTTCACAAATTAATAAAACCTGTGTTGGGCTCTAGGTTGCAGCCTTTGTTCTGGTTAGCCATTGTTCCAACTAAACTTACGACTGCCTCATCTGCCCACACATACAAATATGCTTGAGTGTCTTTATTCTCGCCATGGATTATACTGGAAGTGGTAGACTAGAATAAATTTATTAGAATTTCAGTAACTTTTCATGGGATTACAAATATAAAGGACCCCTATAGGTCCACAAGGGTGTGTATCTGTAAGAGTAATACGAAAGTGGGTGAAGACCATGATCTTAATCAGGTTAAGCAAGAGACTTAACAAGACTGATTAAGGGTGTACAGTGATTAGAGAAGGGAGAAACAAATAACTATCAATGACAATGTCCCCCAAAGTCTTGTGTGTCCTGAGCTTTGCATAAAGATGAGATCACTATGCTGCTCAGTGGACCGATCCTTTGCTGCGTTCAGGGCTCGGTGTGACATTAGGAGGCGGGGCCAGGCTGGAGTGTGTCACTGAAGGGATGCTCATAGAGGGTGCGGGGTACATCTCTGCACCTGGTCCCTCCTTTTCTTCACTGCATCCTGGCTGAGAGCAGCTTTCCACTCAACCACACTCTTTTACCACACCACTGCTGCCTGAGAGCCAACTAACCATGGGGAGAATCCTCTGAAAACCGTGAGCCAAAATAAACCCCCATTTAAAACACATGTGGCAGATATTTTGTCCCATCAACAGAGAAGTGACTAATACAAATGGTAGAAAGTTAATTTTTCAATTGTTTCTTTGAAAAAACAACATATGAATGGTCAGGCTACTGTCTAGAACAAGCCAATAGAAAACTATTCTTGTGACAGTCAAAAGTAATTTATTATGGGCTGACTAAAACAAGAAACCAAGGAACCACTGTCAATCTTGACAGACTGTAACTGTGGCCAGATGTAGGAGGACACTTATTGGACAGAGAAAGGGCAACAGAGGGAAAGTAGGGGTGGTAAGGATGGGTATAGGGGTGGTGTGAGAAAATATATTTCACTTTTTTCACAAAAAATGTGAAACTGGGGGAACCGGGGGCAAAGAGGTTCATGGGGGAGGGTGGGGATGATCCAAACATGTAATGTACATTTATGAATCTTCCAAAATAAAACCCACTAAACTGTACAATCAGCATAGAACCCAAAGTCTGCAGGAAGGAAGACTGTCATGTGTGTGACTGCAGACATCACTACACTGGCCCCTAGAGAAACAGCCCTCAGTGCTGGGGCACAGTAGCCAACTCCACAAAGTGGGCACAGGGCAGGAAAGAAACACAAGCATAGCCTCACCACAGACGACAAGCAACAAAAGGGGTGCAAAGGCAGGAAAGAGACACTGAATTTGTTTTTGACAGGTATGAATCCACAGGCCCAGTGACTATAACAAGAATTAATTTTATATTTTTTATATTTCAGAGTGTGTTATACTAACCAGACTGTTTCTGTGTAGCAGGTTTAGTACGTTTCTCCTTAACAGTTCCAAAATACAGTGGAGAAGTTGGTAAGACACAAGAGCTAAAATAAAAACAAAACCACACCAGGAGAACAAACAACAATAAGAAACAATTGTTTCAAGGAAACACATATTTTAAGAATAGTCATAATCATTAATTCATGTAGATTTAGTTGTATAATATTTGGAAATAAAAACTATTAAGACTAACCTTACCCTTCAAGAAAAATAAAGTGCCGTTTTAAAATTTATACTCTATTGTAAAATATAGTAGCACTTTGTATTAAAATAAACTGAACCATTTCTTCTTAAAAAGTCAGAAGCAGTGGTATGAACAATAATTTGTTTCATGCAGGATTAGTACAGTCAGGTTTACTGCTTTCGCCTTGTTTGTTGACATGAAAGAAATATAGAATGCTATTAACAGGCCACCACTCCCAGGGCACATTGTGATTGTACAGACTGTACCTCGCTAGCACAGAGAGAGCCTTCCCAGGGCCAAGACACTGTTGAGACCTCAACAGCGCTGCTGGGCTGATTTCCAACACAGCAATCTTATTCTCAAACATGGATGTGAGTAAGCAATATACCTATGACAGATACAGCAGTAACATAATTAGTCGTATCACTGCATGGAAAAGAAACTGGATTTGCATTCATATCTGATCAAAAACACAGCTTATTAGCAAACCTACTTCATTTGTACAAACAGTTATGCTATATGATGGGTACGAGTAGTTGCAGAATCTTATATAATTCATAAAAATGTTCACAAAGAAAATCTCATGTATAAGCCAGTTAACTATGATATTATGTTCCAGAAAGTATACATCAAAAATACAGATGAGGAAGGCATGGTGGCACATGTCTGTAATCCCACCTGCACAGAAGGCCAAAGCAGAAGGATCAAAAAGTTTTAGGCCAGGCTGAGAAACTTAGCAAGACACTGTTGTAAAATAAAAAAGGCTGAGGACATAGTTAAATGACAAAAGCATGTTCTAAGCATAGGTTCAAGCTCCAATACACGCCCCCCCCCCCGCAAAAAAAAAAAAAAAAAAATATATATATATATATATATATATATGTATATATAAAGACATTTGACAGAACCTAAATGAAATAAATGTTTATGACTGACCTTATGGTCCACAGTTTCGCTACTCACTGCACATGATCCAGCAACTTGAACACTGAGGCTCCTAAAATCTTAATTTTCAAAAATGATAAACAATGTTTAAGAAATAAGTAGAAGGAACTAGTCACTGGCTGGTTGACTCATTCTACCTCCTACTGAAAGCCTACCATCCCTGAGGCACCGAGCCAGCACAAGAGCCAGACAAGGCAGGAGAGCCAGGTACAACAGCCAGGAATCAGGCGTGAGGCCATGAACATGGGGTGACAGTGAGGCTGTGAGAAGGCTGGGGAGACAATGGAATTTGCTAGGAGAACCTACATCACTGGGTGAAGCCAGTGACATCGAAGGGAGCCTCAGGTAGAGGAGAGGGCCCAGGCTGGAAGAGGCACAACATGTGGTAGTCCACAATCTCCACAGAACTGAGGGGATGGAAAGAGGCCAGATCATCAGAGCCCGGGCCAAAAGCTCTGGGGGACCTCAGAAGATGCAACATGTGGGTCTGAGCCACACACACAATTTATCACTGCACTCTGAATGCCACAGACACCTCGGATGTTCAAGGAGGCAGTGACGGAATCAGGATAGAATTTAAGATCACTACCTGGGCCCTGTGCAGAAGAGGTGAAGGGTTCAGCCTGCGGGGTGGGGCAGGTCCTGTGGTAGCCATACTAACCCTCTTGTAGGGACAGACACAGAACTAGAGACTGCAATAGGCTTATTGTCAAATTCAAATCCTGACGCTTTCTCCCTGAAGTCTTTACACACTACATACATATTATTGCAAGACAACAGACAATTTATAGGACTTTCATATCAAAGATAATTAAATGTATGGTGTTACCCTTGAAATGTAAAACAGCTTCCACTTCAAAGTTCGCCAAGTTAAATATGAATAACTCTGTTGTGCTTCCAATCCACAGGCACCTGGTGTTCTCAGCAGACAGGCTAATTTGGAAAGAGAAGGAACTCATTACACCCAGACCTCCATGCCGCGCTGCATTTCTGCAGCCTCACCTCCCTGACAATGCGTAGAATGCTCCCAACTGGGGGCCACTGGAGAGGGGTTTCCTTTTGCACTGCAGTTGCAGGTTCTTGTCACTTACGATTACGCTTTCAAGTCTATTCTGTGTTTCTTAGGAACCCACTTAGTGTCTACTAGAAACAGGTGACTCTAAGTGGCCATAACCTAACCGTAACTCAACTCTGACCTACATGGATTTTTTTCTCTTCAGATTACTGAGGAGTTTGGGGGCTACGCCATCTGGGGGACTGTCAGTCAGATATGGGGCCTACTGTTGGATTGATTTTATCACAGGCACTGCACCCAGTGGTGCTTATAGCTGTGTTTAGAAAGGAAAAACAAGTCAGAGAGGAAAATGATTGGCCCAATTAACTGATTGGCAGTTAATTACAATGTAAACACTGGACTGCTATTATCAATAAACATTCAATAAGCCTACTTCAGATAATGCCAGGCTTAGATGCAAAACCACTCTCCCATCTGCTTCCTGCTCTCGGCCCTTCCCTCCAACCCACCCCTAGGACACTTCCTGGCTGCTGGCCCTATCAGTGGAGCCACCAGCAGCCTGCTCACTCCTGATCCTGATCAGCACCCAGCCCCATCCTATGCTGCCAGAGTAGGCACTGTGAACAGAAATCAGATGCTAGGACCTTAGCTTTGCCTTGCCAGGGCTCTGCTGCACAGAAACAAAACCAGAGGAGGCTTGCACTTCAGCCCAGGGACCAGCCCCGTATCTCCCTGTCCCTGAATCATCCCTACGCTTGGGCCAGCAGGGAGTGTGGCTCCAGAACCAAGGCCATCCAGAACAATCTGCTCCAAGCTCTTTACTTTTCAGAGAATCCATGTACGTTATTGAAATGTCACACTGACATGCCTCAATTTGTACAGTATATGTTAATGACAAAAACACTACAAAATAAACCCTCTCCCTTATCTAGAGAAACAACCACTTTTTTTGCTGAATTCATAATCTCCAAGCTATCCAAGCTCGCTTTGGAAGGAGAGGTGAGCACAAGCACAGCTGTTCTTTAATCACAGTTGAGACAGTGCTTCCTCACTGTGCCACCCACTTACAGTATTTCCATCCAGCACACAGACAGATAAGTAAAATGGATTTGAGGTTCATTCTAAATATGTAATAAATGACAAAAATGGGTTTAGCTGTTGTGGCCAAAGAGTAAATGGCTAAACCACAGGGCAAAAGCACGCAGGCTCAGTGAGAAGTAAGGCCACAGGACACCACGTTAGATGGCAAGGTGCGTGCACCTGGTCACTGTCCTTCCTCTTCGGCTGCACACTGCCTAGTCTTGAGACAGTTCCATGTGCAAACTGCTCTGCTTCTGTTTTTTTTCTTACACTGACATTCTAAATAAAAGCCAAAGTTCTCAGATTGAACATTACATCTGGGAGTTGCCCTGACGCTGGTCACTCTCAGTTAAGACAGCTCTCTGCCCACTCGGGGGTTAGACTAAGTGTGGTCTCCGAGTAATATTTCAGTCTGTAGGCCACCAGGGTTGCACTCCGCAAGATGGGGAAGTAAAAGGAGTTTAGAACGAAGTATGCTTACCATGCCCCATTCCAATAAACAGTCCCATTTCAGAAGTAAGAATCTGCCTACATTTGGTAAACAAACTTAAAATGATGCCAATCCCTTTGTTAAAGAGACTCAAGTAAAACTGACCAAATTCACCCACTCTAAATCAGTTGGAGACAAAACTAATTGCATTTTATTTTAATCACCCTTACAAGCGCAAACAGAGGCTCCCAGCATTGTAAAGAGTTTTCCACCCTTGTTTTTCCCAGTGCCTACATACCCACTGCTTCCAGAACTCAGCCCCTGGGGAAGGCGGCAGTGGGAGAGGCTCAGGACAGGTCTGGCCGCTTCAGGCTTTGCTGCCAGGTCCAGCTCACCGGCTCCTGCTGAGCAGGTACACTCATCAACTGAGAGGCACAGTTAGTCCCATGATCAAGATTAAAGACTAACAGTGGACTCGGTGCTGCAATGGTTTGTGTTGTTGGAATAATAAAACCATGATCCAGAAAAACACCTAGTATTAAGTATAAAAAAAAGTTTAAAAATAAAAATCATCCTCCAGATCCAGACGTACAGAGGGGATAAAACTTCAACAGAGTGGGGACAAGGTGATGGTCAATTGGAGGCTAACTCCACATTTTCTAAAATAGGTCTGGAGTTTACCTCAAAGATGTGGTATTTCTATAAAACAGAATATTACTCAGCTATAAAAAAGATGATCTTGAGACTTTTATAGGTAAATGGAGGCAACTTGAGACTATCTTCATAAGTGAAATAAATCAGACTCACATTTGTATATCATATTATCTCTCTAGTATAAAAAATAAATAATAATAATAAACTGAAAGAGTAATAAGATCCAAAATGTACAACAGAGTGCACTTCAGATGAACTGTAACCAACAGAGAAAGAAACCTGTATGAAAGGAATAAAAAATATGAAAAGAGGAAGCAACAGGAAAGGGTCCCTAGCTGCCAACCCTGAGAACACTGATCCAGGAAAGGTAAATGCAAAGGAGATTGAGGATGGCAAACATGCAGTATCAGACACAGCACCAGTGGACATAAAGTGATATCCTCGGGACCTCATAGACGAGTTCAAAAGTGAAATATTTAACCAAGTAAAGCAAGATACAAATAGATTGGGGCTGAGGATTTAGCTCAATGGCATAAGTGCCTGCCTTGCAAGTGTGTGGTCGTGATCAATCCCTGGTACTGATAAAAAGAAAAAGACAAAAAAAAATTTTTTTTAAAAATATAGATTAATAAAAGAAATGCTAAGTACCTCTCAAAAAGACACAGACAGAAGAATGGAGGAACAAAAAAAAGGGGACAACAGTTTGATGGAGAAAATAGAAAAAACATAGAATACATGAAGCAGGTTCTAAGAGATTACCAGGAAATTAAAAACGTCATTGAAAGCTGGTAAAACTGCTTGAAAGAAACTAAGGATAGATTATCTGAACTAGAGGACAGGTTTGCAATGTGGGATCATGAAAGGAAAAATTTCTTAAAAATAACAAGGAAATAAGCAGTAACAATACAAAGGCTAGAAGACGACAAGAGGAGGTATAACTTAAGAATAAAGAATGTAAAGGAAGAAGCAGGGATACACACAAATGAACCACAAAGGCTATTCAGAGAAATAATCAAGGAGAACTTCCCAAACATAGGAAAAGAAAAAGATATTCAGATGTATGAGGCATACAGAACTCCAGCCACCTACAACTAAAACAGAACTACACCCAGGCATATAATAATCAAGATCCCAAAAATCTAATATAAGAACAGAATATTAAAAGCTGTCAGAGACAAGAAACAGATTACTTACAAGGGAAAGCCCATCAGAATTACAGCAGACTTCTCGGCACAAATCATCAAATTGAGAAGAGCGTGGAGCGAAGTATTCCAAGCCCTGAAAGAAAACAACCTCCAGCCCAGATTGATGTACCCTGAAAAATTGTCCCTAGAAGTTAATGGAGAAACAAGATGCTTCCAAGATAAAGAGGAACTGGGGGAACTCACAACCACCAATCCAAGTCTATTGAGAATACTGCAGGGCATTCTGAAGAGAGAGAAAAGTACCAGGATGTCAGAAACAGTGGAAGACAGGCCCCAGTGAATGGAGCAAAAAGTGAAATGAAGATGACAGACAACTAATGATGGAAAAAGAGCACAACAGAAATGAAGCAGAGAAGGTTGGATATAATTTCTAATATAGATGGCCTAGATACACTAAATTAAGGGAAAAAAGAGAGAATTGTAGGCAGAATGGATCAAGAGGTAGGATCCACCAAGATGCTCTTAATAGGAAATATAATTAGCCTGAAGAAGGGTATATGGACCAAAGTCAAATATGAGAAAACAGAACTCTATGTGATAGGGAACCAGAGAGTAATAGGGGCAACTGGATCACTATTTATGGATAGGTTGGAAAGACAGGCTTTAGTAGGTAAAGAAATACAACTAGAGATCAAGCCCAGGAGTGAGAAAGTTCAGAAATGCTTAAGTAAATAGCAAGTTGCCCCCCCAATATAAAACTGAGGGTGTTGGGGAGACCCAAAAATGCATAGTACACCCTGGCAGAGGGAAATGGGAGGAATAGTCTTAAAAAGAAAGCAGAAGATATTGCTAATAGTGTATCAGGAATTAAAACCCGTATTACTCACACCACTCTGCTTAGATAGAACTTATTCCATCCAGTTTGTATAGAAGCACTAGATCTGACAGCTATCCCCAAAATATCAGGATATAGCACAGTAATCATCTTTAATTTCCTATTAACTTAATCTGGATCCTTGCATAACTTATACTGTTATATCATGACTGATCTTAGTTAAATCTGATTTGTTAGATTGCTGTTTGTTATTGACAGATTTTATTCAAAACTGTTAAGGTTGATAGTATCAAGTCAGAGAGTATAGACAACTATACTGAAAATGACAATGATTCACTACGATACCCATTGTCATTTGATTACCACCTGTAGTAGTTCTACACTATCTACAAAGTTGTATTTCTATTAATACTGTTATGTACTGATATATTCAATTATACTTTATCTGATGATATAGCCAATTCTATTGATGATAAGAGACAACACAATAACCATGATAGAACTCCTTAGATAGCAGTTTTATGTGTCTTTTTAGTTTTACGTGTCTATAGGAATATGTTTTGTTCTGTCCTGCTTTGTTCTGTTTCTCCCTCTAATATAGAAAGGAAAGAAATACATGTTAAGACTCACGCTTGAGGTAAAACCTATAAACAGTTTACGAGAACTGATCTTATGACACATGATGAAATGAACAAATACTCTGAAGGAAAAAAAGGCACTATAAAGCACCCAGTGCTGACTCCAGAGTATCATGATGTGAAATCCAGCAATATTATTATTCTTTGTTCAGAGTGGTTTTAGTCCGCTTTGGTTTAATTTCAACATAAATGAAGATATGGATAAATGTATGTATGTTTAAGTGTATAGGATTGATAACCATATTACTAAGTTTTTATTAGATAGTTGAACAGAACTATTTACAGTGTCGCTTTTTGAATTCCCATTTATATGTTCCACTTTTGTATCTTGAACAATTATTTGTAAGAGGACAATATGTAGACATCAACTAGTGATTTATTAGTTTATTTTTTTCCTTTGAAAGTCTGTACTATTTCTACCCATTTTCTGTTTTGTCTTTAAATAAAATTTTTAAAATGTACAATAGATATTGTAATAATGAAAGGGAAAGAAAGTGCTCAAAAGGAAAGAACAACTTGCAGGTAAACATGTATAACTATATGTATGTTTAAGTGTGCAACATAGATAACCATGCTACTAATTCTCTGTTAGTTCATCAAAAAGAATAGTTTGTGCTGTCATTGTTTGATTTTCCATTTTTTATGCTTCGATCTTATAACTTGAACAACTACTTCTAAGATAACAATATGTAATATATTTTTTAAAAAGTTATTTATAAACCATCATTTATAAGACAAATAATGAACACATATAGTGCATTAAGGTAATTTCTGCTATAATACAGAAAAAAACAGTTTAAAGCCATCTACAAAACACAAACTGAAGTAAAGGTTGATGGAAGAGGTCACATATGTGAGGTACAGGAAGGTGGGGACCTGGAGGAGATGCCAGGATGGCTGGTGATGGTACAACCTGTAATGTGCAGGGCTCAGATGGGGACCTGGGGGTGACAGGAGGTAGGTGGTGGAGGTGGCCTCTGTGCTGTATGAGAAAATGGTAAGCACCTGGAGGTGGCAGCAGGGTGCACTTGTATCCACCTGTGCAGAGCTCCAGTCTGCTCATAGCTCAGCCCCTGAGACCTGCAGGTCTGTCCCGACTAGACCTCCACTGCCCCGTCAACCACCCAGGGCCTGTGCCCCTCTGTGCACTGAAGCACCCACAATGGCATCAATCTGCACTAACCCAACCTCCATTCCCGCTACATGACCTGCCAGGGCCTAGGTGATTGTCTGAGGTTGTCTGTGCTTCCCCTAAACCAGAAATTGTTCCTCCTTCTTCTCACTCTGTTTTATGGAGGTCTCACAAGTTGCTATGAGTACTGTGTCCACCCAGGAGGCCCCACATATGCCCAAGCAACACACCAGGCAGGCTGTGAACTCCAGACTTTGCCCTCCTGGTGACAAAAGTCTCACTTTTCTTGCTCAGGTCCACGTGGGCTACACAGCGGTAATGATGTCCTTCAATCAAACTGAAAACCCAAAGCTGTGAAAGAAACACATACAGAAAAGTGCGTATCTCTTAATGGTGGTATTTAGAAATAAAGAGTAAAAACCTGAAGAGAACATGGTTCAAAAAGGGGGGGGGGGGGCTGGGGATCTAGCTCAGCGGCATAAGCACCTGCTTTGCAAGCAGGCGGTAGTGAGTTCGATCCCAGGTACTGATAAAAAAAAAAAGAGAGAGAGAGAACATGGTTCAGGTAGTCAAATCACAAGAAATGTGTCCATGGCTGTGCTTCAGAAGTGTAGCTTGGCTGTTCTCCTGTCTCACTGGCTGCCCTTTCTCAGGAGATGCAGAACCCCAGAGAACCTGTCAGGATGCATGATCAGTCCAAATTACAGATGCAGAAACCTTGGTTCTAAAGGTCTCCTCAAGATGACCACCTTCTAGGTTCCCAAGGCACATGCCCAGACTCCTCTACCATAGGCCAGTGACTCCAGCAAGGAAGACTTCTGACCAGGTCACTGGGCATTAAGGAACAGGGTAATAGCAAAATGACTTTGTGTAAAAAAAAAAAAAAAATAGTTTCCAAATGTATATTCATGCTTTCTGAAGAAAACCTAACATGTTCAGATAAAAAACTTTTTTAAGCAGGTTAAATATCTTCAGTTTTCAAAATATTTAAAGTTGATTCTATGCTCATGTGAGTGTTTCTGAATTTTTGCTATATTGCAGTCAGGCCTGGAGCCTGCAGAACAGCCAGATTATCAGAATCAGGAGCGCAGGTGCTAGGCTACCTGACTCCTGGCCCCCACCATGACACTGTGACAAAGAGCCCTACCATCACAGCCACTGAGGTGACTGCTTTCTTCAAATCACGAAAACATTCAAAGCGATACTGAAATAGAGGCTTCAGTGCACAGGGTCACTTACAGCAAAGTTTTCAAACTGTGACACAGTTTTGCAGCTCTCACCTGCCCATCAGCACACCCAGTAACAAACTGCTTACTTTCCTCGTGGAAGAGCAAACTCAACAGGGGATGCGCTGCAGAAAGAGCACAGGGATGGTCAGGGGCCTCAGCAGGCTGCAACCATCAGCTCTCCTGACAGTACTTCCCTGAGTCAGGCTGGAATCATTCTGAAACCATGTCCTCTTCATCAGGGACAAAAGGTGCATTTAAAAAAATGTTCACCAGCTCCATCCAACAGAGAAATGCAAATTGAAACTACATTGACTCCATCACCTCTCACACAGAGCATCATCAAAGATACAATATATATATATATATATATATATATATATATATATATATATGTTTTTAACAAAGGTTTGGGGAAAAGGAACCTTCCTGTATTATTGATAGGAATGTAAACTACCACAACCACCATGGAAATCAGGAGGGGATTCCTCAAAACATTAAATATAGAAATACTATTTGACCTGATATACCACTCCCAGACATACACCCAAAAGAACTATAGTGATACATATATAACTATGTTCACAGCAGCATAATCCACAACACTTAAGCTATGGAAACAACTAAGATGACCATCAACAGATGGAGAATTTAAAAATGTGATATAAACATATCATGTATATATGCATATCATGTATATATGAATATTAGCCACAAAAAAAAGTGAAAGTATGTCATTTGCAGGAAAATGGACAGAACTAGAAATCCTCAGGTTCAGTAAAATTAGCCAGACTCAGATAATTAATTTTGCATGATTTCACTTACTGAGAAACTTTCAAAATACATACACACACATATACATATAGGGTAGAGGACAGAAAGCCAGACGCACACTTCTGCAGACAGAGAAGGAGATAAGCAGGAAAGGGGAAGGTAAATAAAAGGAGGTAAAAGGATAGAAACTGATAAACATGTTAATTGCATGTTTCAATTTCTCAAAGTAAATCTCATCATGTAATATTAGCATGCTCTGATAAAACTGTTGCCTAGAATACCAATGTGTTAAGCTTACACTAGCTTGTTAAGAATCTAAAAAAAAAAAAAAAAAAGAATTAGGAGAACTGGGTAAATGTGTATTTAAAAACATTATTATGTCCGGAAAAAGAAATAAGCTGCAGTATGTACCTGTAACCATTCCCCAAGATGACTGTAAACTTCATGAATTGCAAACATATACTAATAAAAATTTTTAAAATATTATACCATTTAATAAAACAAAAGAATTTAAAACACTGTATGTCCAATTAAGCTATAAATGACAACAAAGACCAAATTTATAACTCTGTTCTTGAGAAACAAATGATTCCAAATAAATACCAGGATGATAATTTCAACATACTTTCAATAACAGTGCTTTATCACAGAATGGTAATGTACTCAAGCTATCAGAAAACCATAGTCTACACATGAGTAAACTGACCTCAGGGAGAATGTAGGCTCTTAAGGGAAATATAACAGCAACCCTACTAAAGTACCAAATTATCTGCGTGTTCTTTCAACAGCACTTTTCAGCCTCTCGTTCTGGGAAATTCCTACCTCACGCTACCTTCTATTCCCTTCCGTGGAAACCCACTGTACACAGAGGAGCAGCAAGTCAAGCTCCTGGATAGCAGCCAGCAGATCGAGGAGGAACAAACAGGACCAGCTAGTGAGATGTGCTCCCCATGAGACTTCCCAACCAGGTCTTTCTGTGGGAAGGAGGCCAACACCACAGCAATCTCTCCCAATGCTTAGCAGATGGGATTCACATCTCTGGTCACATGTTAGATTCATTTACCTCCACAAAGATAGTTTGAGGAGAGCACACAGCTTCCACAGAATTCAGGAGCTGTGTGGATGTCTCCAGCTTAACCACTGGGTCAAGTATGGTGCCTCTCCACACTGCCACTGGCCCTTAGGGTGGAACACACGAGACATGGAACTATGGTATTCAGAGGTTGAGTCTCATGTGGTCAGGAGAGCGGAGGGCTCCTGTGACCAGGCACTTTATCTGAGAGCCAACACAGAAGCTTAGACTGCAAACATACTTTTAAGTTTAAAACTCCAAGAACACTGTTCTTCTGTTCCTTTCAATGACTGACTAATACTCCAATGTGATTTCCTATCAGTACAGAAAAATGGATTGAAGTGGAGATCCTCATGTTAAGTGAAATAAGCCATGTCAGAAAGACAAATGCTGCCTGCTTTTTCTCATATGTGGAATCCAAACAAACAAAAGCAGAAAACAAAAAACAGTGTAGAAGACAGTTTACAGAGTTAGCTTATAAGTGTGGCAGCTAGATAGAAGAACAACTAAGAAAAAACTGGGTAGTCAGCCATACCAATGAAAATTTTAAACACAAATAGCAAACTAGGACTTCAGGCCAGGAATAGCCATTCCTAGGGCAACATGAAGTGTGGCCCCTCCATTCTAAAAGAAAATATGGACACTCCAAGTTCCTGAGGTCTGAGGAAATTACAATGCAAAACAACAGGTTCTTTCCAAGATCCCAGTTTACGTAAAGAAACTTAGAGAGTGAATCAAAGTTCCAACTGGTCACTTCTTTAATTTCACAGGGCCACCTGAAATAGGTGACCATTGGATAATTAAGCAATCTTATGCCCTGTTTACCTATAAGTGACTGTAAACCAAGTGGCAATTCAGCCTCCCCATTCAGGACCCTTCCTAAAAATCTCAACTTTCCTAACATCCTCCTTTGCTTCACAACTTCATTCCTCAACATTTGCAAAACCATGAGCCCAATAATTAATGGTATCAACAGAATGATTATAAAAGTAGAAAGAGGAGTCTTACAGGGAAAGGAAACAAGGTGGGAGGGAAGGGAAGACAAGTGGTCAACCATGCGACTATTGAAAACATCAAAGTACGTTGCACACGTGTAAAAATCTATTCAAATAAAATCTGCTAGTCTGTCCAACTAACAATACAGTAATACGGAACTTCAGGAACTCAACCTATTCAATATGTGGAGAGGATCATGGCCAGGCTGCATCTGTAGATCAGCATATGAATGCTCAAGATTTGGTTACAGAAATCCTGTAGGTACAAGGTAGAAAAGTTTTAAACTTACCTGTTAAAATGGATGAACTGAATATTAATGATCCCATAAAATGGTCCCAGACCTTTAAGCAAAGAAATATTATTTTAGAGAAAGCTTGCATTATTGCTGTATCTTGAACCAGTCTACCAAATTATATTTTAATCTATGTGAACAATTATAAAAACAGAAAATAAAATTATGCAATAAAGACAATAGGAATGCAATAAGAAACAGAAGAAGCATAAAAGAGAAAAAAACCTCAAGCTATAATAAATTTATTATCAGGAGATAACAAATTTGGGGCCTGAAAGGATTAAAAACAAAAACCTATAACAAAATTAGAAATGATTGCATGTGTACTCAACAGTGCAGAAGAAGCAAGTGAAGGAATGTGCTATGGTTTGTGTCTGGATGACCCCCAAAGCCTCATGCAGTCACAGGGGCAGGCTTCTAGGGTTTGTGACTGAGATTATGGGTGTGAGTGCTATATCCCCACTAGGGTAGGTAGCCTACGTGCAATAAAAGGTACAGAAAGAGTCTTCTCTTGTAATCTTCCCTTTTTGCTGTTGTTGATTTTGTGCCTTCGCCCTAGTAAGTACGGGTTAATTTATTTTCCTTTAGATTTTGCATTTTATTTATTATTTTGTGCTATTTCATAATATTCCAGTCATTTTCATAGGACTGTTTTGGGATTGTGGAACGAATCATCTGCATGTGTATTATTTCTTACAGGGAAATTGCTTTGATAGACAAGTGCTTTGGATTACATGCATGTTTCTAAGATGAATTATGTTCCCAAACCAAGGTTTTATTAATGGACAGTTGAGACAGGAGGTTGTGTGCTCAATACTGTTGATCAGTGGTACAACTGGCATTCAAGCCTATGTGCCACTCCCAGCATGGGGAAACAATGCCCTTTCATTCTGGAAACAGCTCGCCCCAGCCAGGTATTTCAAACAAACTGAGGGATGTACGTTCACTACTTCTTTTCTGCTGCACATCATCACCTTCAGCTTTTCTCCCCAGATATTACATATCAATGCCCTTCCTTTCTCAGTAAGTCATAATGATACCCTGGAGTTGATGGAAGTAAACTTGTACTTAATTTCCTTCTAAAGCATGGTTTACCTCTGATTGGCTCCTCTGCTAGGGGATAATGGCTCTTCCGCTATTGGTCATTAGGAAATACTGTGGCTATAAACTAATAGTGCAGTTCCCAGAATACTGGGCCTGAGAAGAATCCTCATAGCCCAGGAAGCCCATGTGAGAATGCTGGAAGGCCAGAGCTGCGCTGTCATCAGTGATAGCCCAGCTCATGCCCACCAGAATGTCAAGACTCCTATTTTTGTGTGAAAGCTTAGGATAAAGTACATTAGCATGGCAAAAGTAAAACCATGTGCGTGGCAGTGACCAGTCAACAAACAGCTGTATCCACATGCCCACACTTACCTTAAAGCTTCTGTCTTCAGACAACGAGATAAGCACATGTGCTTGCCAAGGACAAAATTCCACAGCAGTCACTAAGCCCTGATGGCCTGCCAGCTCTACTAGCACAGAATGACTCTAGAAGAAGTTATGAAGATTACTGATAGCATTTTCTGGAATTATTCCCATAAAGAAATCACACACACACACAGCATTTCCCCTGCTAAAGTGCAATAGTTCTGTTGAAATAACTACATTCAAGCTACTTCTACATTTGGAACTACTGGATCCCTCTATAAACCTATATGTTAAATTTCCAAAATGCCTGAACCTGAGAGATACACAGTCACTCCAAACTGTCAGCAACTGCAGAAGATACAAACCATCCAAAGCTCCCCACAATGGAAAGCTGTATCCTCATGATTTTGTCTCCCTAGGTTCTACATCTTACATCCTGTAGAGAGGCTTTCTGCTGCTGCACTTCCCCAATGACACCCAAGGAGTGGATGGACATGGGCACTAAGGCTTATATTCTCCAATGTCTCTGTTGCTGCCTCTCTGTCTCTGTGTGTCTTCCTCATTCTGTCTCTTTCTCCTATCTCTGTTCCTGCATCTGCCTCAATCTCCGTCTCTGCCTGGGTCTGTCTCTGTATCTCTGTCTGTGTCATTGCCTCTGTCTCTCTATCTCTCTGTTGCTGCCTCAATCTGTTGCTGTCTCTTTCTCCTCCATCCATTCACCCATCAGTCTATACTACCTTTCATCTTCAGCATCTGTTCTATACTAAGGAGTCATGAAAGCACAAGAAACTAGTAACAGCTACTCTAGAGTTACTATCTCCAAAAGCCCTGAAACCTCTCACAGCATGGGCAGCACACAGAAGCTGATGTCACCAGTTCACAGTCCCTGCCCAGGGTGAAGAACTGGGGCTATGAGAGGCCAGGGCTCCTGAGGATCACAATTGACCCATAGTCTTGTGTGACTAAGACAGGATCCAGCCCATGGGTAACTGCCACGCTGGGATTCAAGCACACACAATTTCAGGAAACAAAGTCCTCCTTTACGCTCCCCAAGGTCCCACCCCCTGGTCTGTGACCTCTAACTTACTCTGTCATGGATCAAGCAGTTGCAGACAGACACTGGATATAAAATCAACAACCTACAATATGTTTACATTTACTTAACTCATTTCAATTAAAAAGTGAGTGGAAAGTGGGGTTCTTGGTGGAAGCTAAGAGATGAGGAAACACTACCTTCGGATGACTGTGGAGATCCCTACATGAAAGAATGCAAGGAAAAAAACTAAACGTGTTTGTTAAGGTCATCCCTGACAGTCAGGTTTCCTACAGTTATGATGTTTTTATACAAACTGCAAAACAAAGACACGTTTTCATGTTTTTCCCTAACACCTTTCTTAAAATGCATCAAAAAACCTCTAGTTATAAAAGGAGAATAGAAAAAACACAGGATCTTGCCTGAGAGAGTCCACCAACTCTGCACTCGATAGAGCTTCATGAGTTTGCTAATCTTACCTTGACATCCAGCATGAATACTGTGTTTCCAGAACCGACTGCAATCACATGATCACTGAGACTAAATCTTATACACAGCACTTTCCCCAGAAGGGTGCTCATGACAGTCCCACGAGGAAGCAGCCCTAGAGGGGGATTCGGACACGAGTGTCAGTTCATCAAACTTGCAATAGGACATCACGTCATGAGAAAAGGGCTGATGCCACAGTTCTGGGATGTAGACTACATGAGGAGTTTTACTGAACTCAAATACAATTTTGGTTCTGTTTTTGGCAACACTAGGGATTGAAACCAGGGTCTCAGGCATAGTAGGCAGGCACTCTACCACTGAACTACATCATCCCCAGTCCTTTTTATTTTCTTTTGAGACAGGGCTCACTAAATTGCCCAGGCTGGGCTGGAACTTGCCATCCTCTGCCTTAACATCCTGAGTAGCTCAGGCTCTAGGCATGCCCTGTGTCCTGATGATTTTGGTTCCTTCCCAGTATCCAGACCAGTGAACATTAATGATTGTTCGCAAGCGCTCAGAACACATGACTGACCTGTAGGGAGGCAGTTTGGTGTCATCAAGTACAGGTCTCTTCTGCTGAGCTGCAGGAATTCAGGGTACGAGGCTGAGTGTCCCAATCCTTCTCCCTGTGTTCACCCCAGATTCTGCCGTGGGACCTGCTTTTGTTGTACTGGGTAGGCAGAGGGACACTGTGCCATCAGAGCCACTGCCTCTGTGGCTTTGCAGCCCCATGAGGCCCTCTCCAAGCCAATCTGTGGGCCCCAAAGTGACCATGACAAACATACGGACAAAGCTGGCCCAGATGATCTGTAGCTCTGATTGGAGCACAGCCAGCAGCCCTCAGCACGTGGGCAGAGGAAGGACAAAGCTCCTGGCTTCAGACGCTGGTGTGCAGCAGGGACAAGTGTGCAGCCAGTGAGGCCCTACGAAGCAAAAATGTGTGTGTCTAATGGAGTGTGGGCGTGGCCAGGCCAGCCTGTGGGCTGACTCCGTGGCTCTGGTACTGCATCAGCCTCTCACCAGGAACTGGAAGCAGCTACCAGACAGACAGACATGTGCCCTCGTGGAAATCTCTAACACAGCAGTGAGCAGGAAGTGCAGGCAGTCAGGACAGGGAGGCACACGAGTCCCTGAAACTGCAGAAAGGAAGCATGTACCATGAGGAGAGGCCAGTAGGAGGGCCTCGGGGCATCAAGTAGTGCCAAGAAGGGACAGGGCAAGAAGATATCGGGGCCGAGGTATGAAGGGTAGGACAAAGCAGCGGCAGTGATGGGAGTTTCGCAGACAAGGCTACACTGTCCCACTGCACTGAAGGGTGCAGCCTTCAGTTTGAGCTAATTAGTTTTGTGATTATCCAGTTTTTACAGTAACCCTACATCCCACATTTAAACCCCTAGACATGGCCCCACCTAACCTGTTATAAGCTCAAATACCCAAAATATGCTGTTCTTATACTGTAACTAGTTCTCTTCCTGTAAAACGTGTGTAACTGCCAGTTAAGTTGCACCCTTGTAACATACCCACCATGAAACCCCCTTCCTGCCTCCCTGGCTCGTGTAACTGCTTGTTCCGCCTCCCTGGTTCCTTTTATGGTGACAAACTGATCCTAAGACCCTGATCCCTCCCCTTGCGGCTTGCTACTTTATAACTTCCTGCAGCCCCTGGCTTGGGCTCACACTTTCCTGACTGCCGACAGACACTGTCACTGCTGAGCTCAGCTAATAAAGTGCTTTTTTAAATTTTTTGGAGTCCATCATTTTTCTGCCCATATCATTCGGGGCTTGTCCAGGATCCCACCTTTTACAGGATTTAGGCCCTCCCCACCTCCCCGGTCTCCTACTCTTCGGATGACATCAGGATCTCTTTGAATGAGGCTTCCTTCTACAAGCAAGGACTTAATGCTTTCATTTTGCCCTGTGATCCTCTCCTTTCTATGACTTGGGGAGTCAAGTTTTCAGGCTTGCTCCCATTTGGGCAAAGAGTCGCCAAAATTAGGGCAGATTTACCACCATTTGAGGGAGGAATTGACCTCTGCTGGGAACACCACATTTGGGGACTCAAGTTTCCAGGCTTGCTCCCATTTGAGGGAGGACAAATTTTGTCTTAGCTCTCCTATACCTTCATCTTCTTGTTCTGTCCCGGATTCATTGGTTACTGAGAATCCTTGCAATTTAAGCTGGACCTAATATGTAAGGTTTTTAGAGGTTTTTTTTTTATATCAGCTGATTAAGTCAAGTTAATTATATGATTTTTTTTGTGATGCTATTTGGGTTACTCAATGGAAAAAACATGCTCTTCCTAGGTAGACTGAAGCTAGCAAATTGGTTATTTTAAATTCCTGGGACAGTTCCACCATTAGCAAGCAGGAGAGTGGCCACCTGGTGACTTTAACCAGCTCCTGGTTGCAGAGTCGAGAACTTGCTCCAGTTGTTATAGCTTTTTGGATAGTTCTTTGTCTGTGTGGCAGGCTTCTGCCATGTTGTGTTTGTCTGTGTGGCAGGCTTCTGCCATCTTGTCTTTGTCTGTGTGGCAGGCTTCTACCATCTTGTCTTTGTCTCTGGGGCAGGCTTCTGCCATCTTGTCTTTGGCTGTGTGGCAGGCTTCTGCCATCTTGTCTATGTGGCAGGCCTCCTCCATTTTGTCTTTGTTTGCTTCTCTGCACCTCTTGTCTCGCATGTCATATTATGGGCCAAACAGCTTCTTCCCCTTTGTCACCCTTGCAACTTGTTCTTAATCATTTTAAGGATTTTAGGGATCAAGCTGCAAGATATGGAGATCCTGTCTACCCTAAAAGAGAACTGTGAACTCAAATGGCCTTCCTTTGGTGTCAGGTGGCCTTCACAGGGAACTTTTAACTTACAAATCTCTCAACAGGTCCGTTAAGTCATTTTCAGACCCCCTCATAAGCTGGCCATGCACCCTGATCAAATGGCCTAATGGTTAGGATTCGGCACCCTCATCCATCGGTCGACTTGGGATGACTGCCAACAGCTGTTGCAGACTCTATTTACATCTGAGGAACTCGAGCAAATCCGCACCTTGGCACATCGATCTGTCCTCAACACTATCAGGGAACCCACTTCGGATTTAATGAGGCTTGATGCTGTTTTCCCTTTGACCCACCCTAACTGGGACCCCAACGTGGATGGAGGTAAGGAGGCTTTTGAACACTACTGTCAGACTCTTCTTGTGGCACTCAGAGGTGCCACCCGAAAGCCAACCAACTTATCAAAAGTAACTGAGGTAAGACAATTGGCTTCTGAGTCTCTGTCGGCTTTCCTTGAGCGCCTTCTAGAGGCCTATCATATATATATACTCCTATAGACCCGGAGGCCCCAGAGAATAGACGAGCTATTAATATAGCAAATATAGCATTCATCTCTCAGTCAGCCCCTGATATTAAATGAAAGTTGCAAAAATTATAGGGCTTTAAAAGGATTATGATAGGTCAGTTGATAGAGATAGCCCAAAAGGTTTCTGACAACAGGGAAGACCCACAAGAGAAAAAAATTAACCAAGATCTTGGCTGTACTAGCAAAAGGACATACTCAAGGCAAAAAGGGAAAAGACCAACTAACAAAGACCCTGCTAGACAAGAATCAATGTATATATTGCAAAGAATTGGGCCATTGGAAAAAGGATTATCCAAAGTTAAAGGCCAAATTTGGGAAAGGGGAAACCACCCGCAGGTCTTATTGGAAAAAGATTGACAATTCCAGGGTTCATCCACTCCCCCACCCCACCCAGCCCCAAGTAACCTTAACAGTGGGGGGAGAGGGACCATAGGTTTCCTGGTTGATACTGGATTTTGCTGAGCAGGCACAACCTTGTTTAGAAGTCCTACCCTTCTCTTGCATGTCTTTTGGGGTCCTGTTGGCATTTGTCTCTGACTCCTTTTGTCTTGCATGGACCCTGCAGCTATTTTGCAGCCTGGGTTCGGCCCTCAGAAGAAAACTACCCTGGGAAGGCTGAGCCTTAGGTAGAGGGCTATGTCATTCTGCCTTGGCTGGGTATTGTGGGTTAGTGCTTGGTCTTGTCCTGTGCCCCTCGCCTGTAAAGGTGTTTCCCATCCCAGGAACCAGTCGTTGGTAGTCCTAATTGGCAGAATAGGAACTATTCTGACAGGGTGCCCAGCACCTCAGCCACTGGATATTAAAGGTTGTACCACAGGTGGCTTTGCAGCACCGCTGTGTTGGTGAAGCCCCTTCCTCTTTACTGTGTGGACTTCCCCTTGGAGGGCAGCTTTTTGTTCCTAGGGATCCTTCTGCTCATTGGATTTGGTAACCACCATCTCCTAGTGCAGAATAAGCCATCCAGAGGGCTACATAAATGGAAATTATATGGTGTGCTATGCATAAGGTTCTTCATGTGTGAGACACCCCAGGCAGCTGGGCACAAAGGGTCTACTTGATGGGGCCTCCATGGTATGAGGATGCAGCCACCGACCTTGGCTCCAGTGACTGCCAAGGATACAAGCATGCTATGCACTATGGGCCAAAGAAAGAGACTATCCTTGAGGCTGTCTGGCTTATGTTCCTGGAGCTGCTTGAGACATCCGCATGCATCACATGCAGGTGGTTACTGCAATGGAAGACACTATCTAAGTCAACAATTGATGCACAGCATCTTCCTGGAAGTGTTCAGTGAGTGTCATTCCTGGAGCCTAGCAGCATTCAGGCACCCTTCACGGCACAATCTCGAGGCCTAAGATGCTTCCCTGGGTTTCTCCAGTCATCTAGGTGATCTCCTCTTCTCACTCTCCTTCTCATCCACACATGGAGCAACATGCTGCCCTCCTTGAGCTCAACCATGGCCATAAAGCCTGTCCCAGTGGCCTAGGTAGACACCTCTCAGAAAGTCACTGTGCGTAAGCATCCCGACTTAGTTCTATTGTGGCCACAGTCACACAGGCTTGTCAGAGGAAGCGCTGTTCCCGAGCTGCTGGGGAACAGGAGCACAGGAGCATTGCTGCTGTCAGGAAACCAGGTTGGCTTTTCCAAGTTTGTTGCTGTCTCCTGCCAGAGTACAGCATGGCAGGGCCTATGCAGGCCTTACAGGCTCTCGACACAGCTCAGCCCGTGACCCACTTCTATTGGCAAAGAAGTTGCACAAAGG